TGATATAATCTATGTTTATTGATTTCAGGATCCTCTGAGGATGTACTGACTCCATTTAAAGATGTATTGATGGCTTTGGAAGGAGACACTGTGGCTCTTTCCTGCAACTATTCAGGCTCTGTCAGCAACCTCTTCTGGTACCAACAGAAGTCCAGTTCATCTCCACAGCTTCTCATAGCAGAATATGCAGAGAAAGTGGAAAGACTGTCTTTCAAACATGACAAACAGTCAAAGGAGTTTCATCTGCAGATCTCCTCTGCTGCAGTGACAGACTCTGCTGTGTACTACTGTGCTCTGCAGCCCACAGTGACAGGAAACAGCAAAACTCTGAACAAAAACCTTTGGAGCAAAGATAAGAGAAAACTCCACAACATCCACTAGAGGGAGACACACTCTGTTAAAGCTCTGATTTGTGAGTCGATGGTCTGATGAGAAAAACAACAGAGAAATGAAGCAATAAAGATCAGAGACAGAGCTGCTGTGGAAACACAAAACACTTTGATTGGCTGAACGAAACTGGAAAAAATGATGTCATGAGGTAATGGCCCCGCCCACTGAACTTCAGCTCATCCACTGACATTATTTCTTCCTCATTGTACTGCAGTGGAAGAACATTGTTCATCTGCTGTGTGTCTGACTTTAATAACTCCAAAGACATGTTGTTTTACTTCTTTCTGTTTTCATCTCACTTCATAGGTGAGTTCATGAACAGCTGAGTTTCTCTTTTAACCTGATGTGTTCATGTTCACAGTTGAAATCTCACAATATTCTGTGTTTGTCATCAAGTTGTGTACAATCTAATTGTAATCTTAGCTACAGTTGAGCTGTTTGTGTCCACAGAGTAACACTGTACAGGTGATATTTTCCACTGTCTTCTCCTCTCAGCCTCATGGACAATGTGAGTCTGATGGCTTCATTTTCTCTACTTTTTCCAGGACTAATAGCTGGAGATACAATCTCTCCTGGACAAGATGAAGTCAGTGGAACAGAAGGACAATCTGTCACACTCTCATGCAACTATGAGGCAGATAATGATGGTTATACTCGTAGACTTTACTGGTACAAACATCATTCTGACCTTCAGGCTCCTCAGTTTATACTCTGGAAAGGAGCAAAAGGGAACAGAGGTGAAAATATTCCTGATAAAGGTAAATATGAATCCCAAACATCAGCTACATCAACTACATTGACCATCAGAGAGCTAACCCTGGCAGACACAGCTCTCTACTACTGTGCTGTAGAGAAAGACACACAGTGATACAAAGTGTAGCAGAGGCTGTACAAAAACCTGAACACAGATATGTGACTCCTCTTCAAAGAGGAGGGAAG